GAACATATCGCCTTTAAAGCAAAAAGGTACCAAGTGATCTTTTCATGTTTTCGAAAAATTGCGTTTAAAGATTTGAAGTTTCATATCAAATCAGGTTTTTACAACTTGGCAAAGCAACTTTAAATATATTTAGATAATATTTAAATGTACATGCTCAAAAAGTTGGAAAGCTTATTTATAACAAATTAGTGATAATTGATCAATTAAAGGAAATGATTCCTTTTTGCACTTATAAATATTTTGACCGACAAATGCAAGAAGGTACCATATGATCGCTTGGCCCCTTTTCGCATTGCATGATTTTTAACATTAATTTGCTGTCGAATATATCACAAAAAGGTACCAGATGGCAGCTGGCACCTTTTTGTCCCAACAATGTTAACAAAAGGCGTCATTTAATAACAGTTTTATTATACAATGATGCAAATAATAATTGTTGACATTATTGTGTTTTCAGTAAATGTCTGATATAACTATCACAATGCATGTTTTGAAAGTCTGTGATTAACCTTAATGCCTATTTCAAATTCTCTAACATTGTTAGTCAAAATCAGAATCATTCTCTTCTGATTCCATCGTGACATAACCCTTTTCTTTCCTGTATGTTGGTTAAGTGGCATGATAGTTATGGAACTCTTTTTGGATAATTTTCTTTGCACACAAAGTAACAAAGTCATTTTCCTTTTGAATTGAAACTGGCGGTTTGGTATCATAACTTTATATCTCGTTCACCTTTTGCCCACTTACACATACTTTCTTTCTGTCTAGATTCTGTATTCGGAACATCTATTTCCATAAAATCTTCAGCATTGAAGCTGTAATTGTCAAATACTCACTTTGAGTTTTCCTTCGGTACCTGTATACATTTCACTTGTAGCCAGTTCACTATTTGTCCTTCAATAGATGTTTTGAGTCTCGGACACTATTTTTAATGAAGTATTTGAAATCAAAAATATGGTTTTATTTCGTTGGCACAGCAATGTATGGCTGTTATTTTCTGGCCAGTGATATAACACAACTGAATGATACATAATTATACAGGAATTATTTTCTTTGCCCTTTCAAGAGTCAAATTGTCACTCCATCTGTGAGTGACGCAATACCAGAAATTTGTGATGATCAATCTAATATTTAAAACTTGTGATAATATAAAACAAGAGATGCAGCTACGAATCAATCTCTGTTTTGTCCTCCGCAATTATCTGGAAAATATATGACTTATTTGACGTTTCCACTCTGGCAAGTGAAAAAGGATTTTTTTATTAATGCAACCGGGGATAAATGATTGAAGACTTGCTTCTATATCCTCATTTTATTGTTGGACATACAAACACGAGCCTACAAACAAAGTACAAAGTAATTACAAATAAATGATTTACAAAACAATAAAATTACACATTTTATCCAATTCATCAATTGAAAAGAATAAATATGACATTAGAAATATTTAATTCTTAACAGGATCAGCATACAAGAACTTTCCATAAATAATGTTCAAGTTTACTAATAAGTAACTACTACTATCAACAACTCTACTGTAAAGTAAGTTATCAGTTACTCGTATAATGTGGAACTGGCGAAGGGAAATATTTTATATAAAAAATATTAAACAAGAAAATGTTTCGCGGGGATTTTAGGGTCATGCACGTGAAATATTAGTGAACACATTCATACAACCTTTCAACTTACAGTGAACTCTTATACGAAACAGACTATACAAAACATTACCACAGTTAGGCAAACAAACGACGACACAACAGTTAGGCGAATACCAACCAAAGACAACATTACAGGTTACATTAAGCAGGAAGCTATTTCACATGCCTCTCCTTGCAGTTGGTTTTATCCCATAAATGACATACAACATTTTCGTCTCATAAGGAATATAGTGTCAAGTTGTGTAGCAAAAGAGTTTTCTTGAATAGTAAAACTCACTCACTAATGAGCAAGGGGTTGTTACAACGGCATTGAGATCAAAACATGCATTTTAAACGCATGTGTGATCACCTTTTGCTCCAACTTTCTTTTTAACCTTTTCTTCTTGTGAATGTTCCTTCTGTTTTTGATGTTCAATATATATTTAATGATCATGCCATCTTGTGTGCCTACTGCCTTTTTCAATTTTACAGTGTACATATTGAACATTGGTCGTTTTGGGGTTTGGAAAATGATTCTTTGTAATTTTCACAAAAGATATTTTTGTATGTATGTATGTTGCTTAACAGGTTTTATTTCCTTCTTTTCACATTCAATAGTTTACAGTTTCACATTTTTTAAATGTTTAAGTTATAATCATGGGATGTGTATTGTTTCTTTCAGTTTTTAGCTCACCTGTCACAAAGTGACAGGGTGAGCTTTTGTGATCGCTTTTCGTCCGGCGTCGTCCGTCCGTCCGTCGTCCGTCCGTAAACTTTAGCCAATTTCATCGAAACTTCACAGGAATGTTCCTTTGGTGGTCACCTTTAAAGATTGTTCAAAGAATTTAATTCCATGCAGAATTCTGGTTGACATGGCAACCGAAAGAAAAATCTTTAAATATCTTCTTTTAAACAACCCTAAGAGCTAGAGCTTAGATATTTGGCATAAAACATCTTCTAGTAAGTGTCTTCCAAGGGGGTCATTGATTTTCCCTATATGCATATTGTAAAAACTTAAAAAATCTTCTTTTAAAGAACCGTAAGAGCTAGAGCTTAGATATTAAGCATGAAACATATTCTAGTGAATGTCTACCAAGTTTGTTCAAATAAAAGCCCTGGGGTCAAAATTGGCCCCGCCCCAGGGGGTCATTGATTTTCCCTAGATGCAAATAGTAAAAACTTAAAAAAAAACTTCTTTTAAAGAACCAAAAGAGCAAGAGCTAAGATATTAAGCATGAAACATCTTCTAGTGAGTGTCTACAAAGTTTGTTCAAATCAAATCCCTGTGGTCAAGATTGGCCCCACCCCGGGGGTCATTGATTTTCCCTATATGCATATAGTAAAAACTTAAAAAATCTTCTGTTAAAGAACCATAAGAGATAGAGCTTAGATATTTGGCATGAAACATCTTCTAGTGAGTGTCTACCAAGTTTGATCAAATAAAAGCCCTGGGGTCAAAATTGGCCCCGCCCCAGGGGGTCATTGATTTTCCCTATATGCATATAGTAAAATCTAAAAAAATCTTCTTTAAAAGAACCGTAAGAGCTAGAGCTTAGATATTAAGCATGAAACATCTTCTAGTGAATGTCTACCAAGTTTGTTTAAATAAAAGCCCTAAGGTTAAAATTGGCACCGCCCCAGGGGGTCATTGTTTTTCCCTATATGCATATAGTAAAAACTTAAAAAAATCTTCTTTTAAAGAACTCAAAGAGCTAGAGCTAAGATATTTAGCATAAAACATCTTCTAATGAGTGTCTATCAAGTATGTTCAAAGAAAAGCCCTGGGGTCAAAACTGGCCCCGCCTTTGGGGTCATTGATTTTCCTTAAATGTGTATAGCAAAAACTTAAAAATCTTCTATGAAAAAAACCAAATAGCTAGAGTTAAGATATTAAGCATGAAACATCTTTAAGTGAATATCTACAAAGTTTGTTCAAATAAAAGCCCGAGGTCAAAACTGGCCCTGCCAATTGGGTGTCATTGTTTTTAACTATATGTGTATAGTAAAAACTTTAAAAATCTTCTTTTAAAAAACCCAATGAGCTAGAACTTAGATGTTAAGCATGAAACATCTTCTTATGGGTGTCTACCAAGTCTGTTTAAATAAACAAATAAAAGCACTTGGGTAAAAATTGGCCCGGGGGTGGGGGGACCTATATACAGGTGAGCGACCTCAGGGCCATCATGGCCCTCTTGTTTCTTGTATAATGAGATTCCATTTTAGGAAATTACTCTTTATACTGTTTCACCATTTCAACTGTATCATTATTTGCAGATGTACGCTTCCTTGTCATGTTTCTCCTTCAATATACCCCATGTATCTTATTGTCAAGAGTATAGTTAAATACTTTTCTTTTAACGTCCCCTTTTTTTTGTGAAGAAGTCATTTAAACACTATCATTATCTTCATACTGTTATAATTCCTCAATTTAAAACAGAAACAATACTCTGGGATATATTTCATATTTGATGTAAACATCTAGATTGTGTATTCATTAAAATGCTAAAAGGTACCAAGCAAACAATTTAAAGCAGCACGCCTCCAGATTCATGCTAATCACCTCAATCATTCTCCCCACACCCGCATTTTGCTTCAATTTTGGCATGGTCACAAAATAATATTTGAGCCGTGTCATGACAAAACCAACATAATGGGTTTGCTACCAGCATTGATCCAGACCAGCCTGCGCATCCGTGCAGTCTGATCAGATCCATGCTGTTCGCTATCAGTTTCTCTTCTTGTAATAGACTTGGTAAGCGAACAGCTTGGATCCTGATCAGACTGCGCGGATGCGCAGGCTGGTCTGGATCCATGCTGGTCGCAAACTCATTTTGTTGGTTTTGTCATGACACGGCTCATTTGGTCAATCGCACAAACCATCTGCAGTCTGCAAGCATCAACTGGAACAAGCTCTGCACAAAGAATGGCAAAATTCGCATTATACTTCTTACTGCTTGTATGAGGAGAAGGCTTGAGGCCATCATACGGCCACATTTAGAAACATTATCTTTTTTTTCTATTCCTTCATCTTATCTTCTAAATATCCCAACTTTCAGCATCAGCTAAATAAATATTGAAAACTGAATAAATATAATTATAATTCATAAATAACAATATCGTTGAAGACGATGGTTGCTCCTGAAAATTGCACATTTGTCGATGCATTTAATACACAGTTGTTAAACAATGTTGGGTTCCAGTGACCAGAACTCCAGTACAATCTATATACACCCGAAAAGGAAATTCTGAGTTATCTCAACATAATATGAAGAACATTTATCAATAAATAAAGGTTGCATGGGCAAAATTGTTGGAAACTTTCTTTCTTTCTTATCAGTCTGGACTAACATTGACCCGGAACCATACACTCACTACGGTGTACATACTAAATATGACATTAAACAATTACAAAGAGCTGTTACTCAAATATTTTGAAATAAAAGTTTTTGGCTTTAAGCACTACACTTCTTAACACCCTTTCAGATTAGTCCATCGATAAAGTTTCATATAAATATTGTGTTCATAATGTTGGAGTTACATTTTGGTCAACTACCAGTGAAATGGGCAGTTACTCAAAAATGATAAGGCAAACAGTTATAAATTGTATTGCACTGCACTTCTACTTATTTAAATATATCTGCCTTCACAGTTTTCTGTTGATCTTTCTTATAGAATATGTAGGATTATTATGCACTGTACTTCTACGCAATGGGATTTTCTACCTACTAAGTTTCTTTCTGATGTCGTTTTGTAGTTCTGTTTTGGACACAGTTTAAATTTTTAAATGAAAATTGCAGGTCTGCAAAAGTCAAATTAAGCAAGTCCCTTCAATTTATTAGATATATCTTTTTACACAGTGTCTTGCTGATATCTCATGTAGTAATCGGACAATAAAATTGTTTTTTGTTCTGTTTTCACAGAAGAGAGAGAACGTTCTTGTTACAATTTATTGCAGGAAAAAGTCGATATGGATGATAAACAAAAAGAATGTTGTTGCAGGAAACATGTATGTATGCTATGTGTGTGTTTTCTTCCTAAATTGCTGTATATAAAGTACTTTTTTCTGTTCCAAAATCATAAGCATTCTCCGAATATGCCCGTTTCTACTGTTATTAAAAATTGAATGTTTTACTTTTCAAAGTGAAGAAAATGTCAAAAAGGAAAAAACTGTCCGCGTATTTCAAAGTCTCAAACATAGCATTTCAGTTGAATTTACCATACGTTACTTTTAATTTAATTATTGCTTACTATATATTTATCTGTTTCAGGTCAACAAAATCGCATTAGTGTTCATAGGCTTGTTATATCTTCTTTTTGCATTAGTGTATTATTTTCGCGCATGGTCTAAAAAATGAATACATTTTAAATTATTACTTATAGATTCTTAGATCCTTGTTTTGGTGATTAAATGCGTTTGCCATGCTTTTAGATATGAATTAGTTCCCTTCTAATTATGCAAGGCTACATGAACTTATTATAGATGTTTCCAATGACATGGAAAACAAGTCCAAAGATTAAAAAAACATAAGTGATAAATATTTATATTTATACTTAGAAATTTCTGGGGTATTTATTTAACAATTTTTGATATAACTATATGCTCATTCACTAATTTAGTTTTTGTAATCAAGTTATGCTTTTGTATTAGTTTCTGGCCTCTTTGTCCTTTTTGTGTGTTTTATTTTCACTTAATACTATTAAATGGTAATAAAAATATTAGAATCATAGTAAATTATGCAATTAAGCAGATATTGTTCAAATAATACGTAAGATAACTGTTATTGTATAATCGTCGACAATTATATTTTGATCTTAAGGTATTTTAGGTAACGCTAACGAGATGAAATGTGTTATAGCAACTTGTATGTATATATAACCAGATTTCGGTATGAAACTTATATAATATGATTATAACAAACTCAAATAAACGTAGTTTTATTCGGAGTTTTAGCTTAAGCAATTTTGTTAGTAATAATACATTTATGTAAATAATTAAATCTATAAACAGAGTTATTTTTCTGTTGTTAGTTCAACTGCAAAAATACAACTGGTGTTAGTGAATCGAGTGGCATAAGGGTTGTTGTACTTTTCATTATCCACCATGTACAGACCCAATTAATTTTCGTAAATTGAAGAAAAGCTAGTAAAGAATACAATGACAGTAACAATACTGTGTTAAGCAGTAGGTCTTTACCGTTACTTTTCTCCCCTCAATTTTCTTTAGTAGCTAAATATCTTTTGCAATTATGAGCAAGGTATACTAAAATATTAAATACTTTCGTAGGGATCAATATATTCGAACTTTTCAAAGAACATTTTCCCTGGTCCTCCCCTTTTATTCTTAAATTATCCATTGTTACGGTTTCACTATTTTTTGGCATAATTTACAATGGAATTTTTGAAAAACAATTTTTGTTCTTAATCTCATTTCATCTATTAATACTGGAACCAAGTGATGGTTTATATTGTACTTGAGTGTATTTTAGATATTGAACTTCCGTTTTGTCCATTTCACACAGTTTTAAGTATGTCAAATGAAGCTTGAATACAGAGCCTCTAAGGTGACATTTTCCCGAGACTTATTTCAATTTTACAAAATATTAGTTTGTAATTTCAAAATATGTATTTGTAGTCACAAAATAATAATTAATCAATTAATATTTATTAGTAATTACGAAATATTTATTCGGTTTTGCGAAATATTATTTCGTTATTACGAAATATTAATTCGAAACAAAACAACGAAATATTATTAGTTATAGTGAAATATTAATTCCTAATTATTGAATAATATTTCTTAATTACGAAATATTAATTGTTAAAAACCAATTAATATTTTTAGAGGTTTTAAAGGGTTTTGGTGATATTCATAGCCTGAAAGTTTCCGCCTACATATCATCACAATATAAATAGTAATTTCTATTCTCCCTTAGTCTTAATCATTAAGCGACTGTATATCAGTACTGTATATGAATTTAACTAATCACCTGTTGACTGAGCTACCGCGATAGGTGTGATAGTACATGATGGTCACACGGTGGCATACAAAAATTGTAAAGAAATATATTTTGATTGAAGAGCTGGAGGCCAGGCCCTTTAAAGGGAGACACAGACAAAATGTTCATTTATTAGTTTTGGATTTTTTATTCATTATTCTGTAAATGCCCCAAAATGAATACATTAGACAGTTTCTAAACTTGACCCGGTTTGAGCACTAGAATTTCACAAAAGTTGTTACGGTGAACTCTAGAAACGTTAAAGAACATGTCAAATGAATGACTTAGACTTGTTTCAATCCTATCCACAATATATGTTATTGTTATTTCAAGGGCTTATTCAAGTGACATGACTTGTTTTAAAACTATTCGGTGATTATAATGGCGTCTAAATGATGTTCAATTAAATAAATATATTTACGCTTCAAACCCAAAATAAGAAGAATTTATACAGAAAATCATGCTGGAACTTAAAGAAATGTCATCTTAGTGTGAATTGAGTACATAAGATCATTTTGATAGTTTTGTCATTATTTTGCCTGAATATCCCTTTATTTTTTACTAATGTTTATCATAAAAGAAAGTAATGATATAGCCGTCTAAAAGAAATATGTCAGAAAAAAGGATAATTTGGATTAAGAACGACTTCTCACTCAAAATCTAAGTTCAAATATTATAACCATTTGACATATAATCGTTACATTTGGTGGCAAGGTTGATCCAGGCTTTTAAATGTCCCTTTTGGTTGCGAGGTTAAAAGGTTTTATTGTCAAGTTCATAATGACCTAGACTATGATTTCCACAAATTGATTGGTCATATGTAATAGATGACCCTTATTGACTTCAGGATCACTGGTTCAAACGTCTGTTTCACGGGCACTTAAATGCCATAATGGTTTTTGCCTAAATTCTTATTATCTTAACACCATTTATTTTTGTAAAGAAATCTTCATATTTCACATATTGATTTGTCATAACTAGAAGATGACCCCTATTGATCTTTGGGAAACTAGATTTAGGTCAAACTAGTCTTTAACGTAAAAAATGGTTCGTTCCGCTCATTACCTTGATAAGTTTGTATCACAAAGTCTTCATTTTCACATATTGATTAGTCATAATGGGGTAACTAGTTCCATGGTCAAGGGATCTAAATTTAATCTATTGATTGGTTATAATTAGTTGGTAGGTAATATTTTTTCATTTTTTGATTCCATAAATGAGCATTTCAATGTATCTATTTATGGCAAGTTTCTATTATAATAATAACAAAACTACAAATAGTATGAATCAATGACTAGAAAGGGGGCATTATTTTGTTTTTCATTTTTTATTTTTTTATTAATAGTTTTTTTTTTGTTTTTTTGGGGGGGAGGGATGGGGTTAGGTTCCACCTACAAAGTGAAAGTCAAATTGCAAATTTCCAGGTCCCAGGTCTTTTGGATGAAACAGACTTGTACTCCTGCCTGCATTGCATTACTTCAGGTAAAAACGAACATCTGATCAGACCACCGGCAATTTAAACGTCATTAGTGAAATTTCAATGAGGTACTATTTGACAAACATGAGTGCTCAGGAAGAGCACCAGTACATTATGAAACCACTTTCTTGAATCATTCAAAACGTATTATATATAAAAACTATTAAATTTCATTGTATTTATTAGTTACTGTACATGTAACAAAATTTATTTGAAACATTTTAAACACTTGGTAACTAGTATGTTGCTTTGGTGACACGTAGGTCAGGCCAATATTTAACTCATGGGACGAGACTCATAACACTTCTTTGGAGGACAACGATACATGAAACAACTACATTGATTTGCTTGTCCTTACGCATATGGTTATTGCTCCTTACCCAAATATGTATCTTGATTAACGAAATAACACATTCCCAACTGTGCATTGATCGCTACAGCTATATATGCAGAAGGGTACATCGGAAAGGTACAACTCTCAATTTATCATTTCAACACGATTCAGCTGCCGAATCTTATATCAAATGGAGGTCGTGTTATAACTTAGCGTAAAAGAGAAAAGATGCTATGCGTTTTTTAATAATGTTCATATTACTTGGCGAGATAATGCATGATGTTAAGTTTAGTTTCTTTGACACTGTTCATATTAATATATATTTACTAAATTGTTAAGTACATACTCTATACAACGTACATTAAACTGACAATAATTGAAGAAATAAGGTCGGAACAACCACAATATTTATAAACAAATTATTTGACAAATAATTCATTCATTTGATTTTATGCATGACAATATAAATTTGTTTCCTTCAAGCGGCATAATACCGGTCTTTCTCAGATTTCTTTGGTAGTTATCTATACATTACACAGTCACTAAAATCAACGTTTTCAACTTTCAAATAAAATCATCAAAAGCCCTGGGACATGGCACTAGTTAACAATTTTGGCAGATAATAAGTTCATGTTGGTTGTTATGTCAACGAAATGTTAAATATATTCTAATAAATATTTGACGTCACTTGTCAACAATCAACAAATACAGGTTGACAAAAAAGCTCACATAGAGTACACGTTGCTCAGGTGAGCAAAAAAGCTGGCATTCGAACATTTGAAATAACATTTTCAGATCTATGAACTAAAAAAGCCAGGGACTCTAGGTCACACATAACTAAATGAAATAGTAGTCTTAAGCAATCATTGTATTTATATCATAACAGATTAACGCAATTAAAAGTATAAACAAATGTGGTGCTTAGAAGGTACCCATGTGTTAAATTGAGCGAAAGGTGTCCCGTGATACAAAAAAATCTAAAGCATAGAGGTAACCCGTGCCGCTGCAAAACCGAAAGTTGAGTGTTTTTTTGCGAATTTTACATTAATTTTTAATAATTACTGCAATTTGTCTTAAGATGATATATAAATGAACATGTGTAATATGTATGGTGCATATATCATCAAGCCACTGGTTCATTTAAAGTCGAAATATTGAGGCGGTAGGCGAGGGAAGACATGTCTTTTTTATGAAGCTTATTGTGAAGTTCCAGTAATTGAAAATAGGCACATAAAAAAAACACATAAATAAAACATTCTAGTGTTCCGTTGTATTCTTATTGACCACCTGACATACGTCCTATCCTCGCTACAATGAAATTTCGTTGGATTTCCGGACTACTCCTCATAAACAACTGGTGAAATTTCATCAAAATTTTACAGGAATGATCAGTACCAGGTTAAGTTGTGCACTGTCCGTCTGTCTGTCTGTCTGTCTGTCTGTCTGTCACAAAACTTGTCCCAACATGAAATTGGCCATCATGAGGCAACACATGTGATCACTGACGGCTCTTGTTAGAATTTGAAAAAAAAGTCCTGGATAGTTAGCAAACCAACATACATTTCCATCCATTTGTCAAATGTTTCTTCACACAGAGCTTTACGTACTGATCGCTTAAAGTCATGTTAAAATTACATTTTTCTCAGTGAATTTTTTTTAAGTCTCGTTTTTTTAAAGCATGTGTTTTCGTCTTTTTAGAGACGTGTTGAACGTCAGTATCAGATATATAGCTATCCTTAAAAGGACTAGGACATATAGAATTATAATATGTCGATTTCAGTTAATAGTTATATCTTTAGTCAAATACATGTACTTGACTTAATTTGATGCACTCTTCTGAGAAAAATTTCGAGATACAATAGCGCACGCTTTAACTCAATAAAGAATGAGTAATAGGTTTGGACATTCTTTTTTGAAATATTGACTTTCCATCTTGAACACTCACTAATATCTTAAAGATAAGTTTTGTCTTCCAATACTCAAAAATCCATCATCTTTTTTTTATTTGAAACTATTTAACTTTACAGATTGTTAGCGACTAGTGCATAACAGTACATTTAATTTCTCATATGTAATTATATTCCATTTCAAGGAAAACATAAATTATACAGTTTTCAATTCATTTATTTTAAAGAATTGATATTTAAATTATTTTAGAAACAAAAGTACCTCAGCAATAACAATTTCATAGTTTAGAGCAAT